GAACCCAAACCCTGCTCTCTCGATCATGAAGCGCAATCCTTACCACTGCTCCAATCCAACTCTGGCAAACCTGTCACATCTATATAATTTAAGTTTTCTTATGTTAGCCCTCCCTAAATTCACCTCATAACTTCATTCAGGGAATCGCTTGGCAAATTTGGAGAGCAGATTTGAGATCAGCATCCGAAAATACGTCTAGTAGTATAGGTCTCATTTCAAACGGCCACTTCGACTTGGGATCCTTCTCTGGTATGCTTCAGGAGGGAAGGAGCACCGCAGTGTGCAAGTCTTCTTCCTTTTTTTCTTTCTTTTCGCACGAGGTAATCATTTTATCCACTAAGGTGTTCCTACCTGCTTAGGCTAACTTAAAAACTACATTTTCTTGGCTAAACCCGTATAAAAGAGCACAGGTGGTTGGTGCACATCATCCCCTTCGCTTCTGATACAGTCCTAATATAACGATGATTAACACGTTAGACTGAGTTCATTTCTTGATATACTGACCTTTCGATGGGTGGCCCCGCAACTACATTTTCACCCCTTCATATATTTTGATGCTCTACTGTTTCAAGCACGTCATTGCCCTCTCATTTGCTTCTTCTTTAACTTTATATTCATTACATACATTGCTACTCAGCGAATCTCTTCAAATGCTACGTTCATTAAATCTTTTCGATCGGGCACAAAAATATAAAGATGTGAACCGTTAAAATTCATTTTCAGATTTGATTTATTTTCAGTTTTCGCCGAATCTAGGAGACTAAGACAGTAGTTGGAAAGTTCAAGGCTGGATGTGGTCGTGGCTCGTTGTACTGAGTCCGCTATACTTTGGTGCGGTTAGCAGATGCAAACCAGGCGGTAAGGACGGCATGGCAAAAATCGCTTCGAACACTACTGGTTACAAAGTCGCCTCAGAGATGCTTCTGAATTCTATAAATTTCTCGGTAAGACAACATTTCGTTCACTGATGACTAAAATCGAACATCGAGGTTTTTCGATGCCAGCCGTCCTTATAATTGTTTCTTGATGTGGCCATCGCAATTCCTTTCTCGGTGGCGCAACTAGTCAAACCATACTCGGAGCACCCCTACTCTTCAAGCTCCCAAGCAGGTCTTCTAGAAATCCGGTCCTGTTGCTAAGGTTTTACACTGCTCCGCCGTACAGGTTATGCAGTTCAATCAGTGTTGAGGTCAATCTCGTTAATGTGAACAAGAATACCAGTAAGACATTGCTGATGGTTGGAAGGTGAAACGATGATCGACGAGTACTAGATGATCTTAACACAAAAAGGAATGAGTGAGAGATGTTCACATGTCACAACCATGCACTCATTTCAGTGAGTCAGCTTCAGATTTCTGAAAAAGATGCGTAATTTCACGAGAGGATGAAGAACAATTCATTATCTTTGTACTCTCGTCAACTAGGATTTTGCTTTTATTGTCAAATTCATTGCCTTGGTGCTCTTCTGGTTGATGCATCCCAGGCAGTGTCAATTAGTCTGACCGCCTTCGAGAATACACCTCGATCGACCTTTTCTTAAGCTCGGCATGACATTTGTCTAGCATGAATGCTTGCTTCAGCCTTCCAAGATCTCGAACCTCAGGGCTAACGTTTCGACAAATTGGCCTTTGTCAAAGCCTGGAAGACGAAATCATTGAGATCGATTCTATAATAAGGCAAGGTAAACCAAAGACAGTTTTCTAGACTAGGAGACCCCCGGACCCGGTATGCAAGAGGCTTACCGTGATCATAGATCGACCACCGAGAATTCAACGTCTGCGTACAATGAGCAACCCTACATCCATTCTGACCTCACTGTAATTTCAAAACTTAGAGGTCGAGAAAGGATGCGGAGTCATGAGTTGCTGATGCACACTCTTTCCTTCCATTTAATTTGTGGGCCACTAGCTGCAATCCAACACTCTTTAAATGTCCGGTTCTAGTGCCAAAATGGCAAATTGTGAATTCGTTATCATCATGGCATAGATTTCGATGCATTCCCAATCGTTTTTGAGTGCGAGACTCTCTTTTCTCGGCCATCCGGGCGTTCTTTGATTGATGTACGGAAGGGACGCCTTTTCTCAGCAATACACCCAGCATCACAAGCCAGGCAACGAGTTTCGTAAATGACTCCTGCTCTCATGCAATCAACCTGACTATTGGAAGGACGCAAAGGCAGGCGGTCTGGTGTGTCACACAAGATGTCGTTTAAGCGATTGCGGACCAGTAGTCAACAGAGCTTTCCCGGAGTATTTCCACAACCTTTTCCTATAGATCACACATAGTCAAAATTGCACGAATTGCTCTGCTCATTTCTTCGGATATGAATATCGAACAAAATGCCACCTCACTGACTAGTGCTCGCTCATTAATTCTAAGGGAAGGGGAATCCCCCTACGTTGTGAACACTCGCGGCAGTTAGGATAAATATTAGGCAACGCAACCCTTGTCGCTATACCCGGCGGTTCTGTTTTGAGATCAGAAGAGATCTCACTGGCAACTCAGAACATACTGCTGGTGACAGATTATTTTTTCTCATGGGCTGGGCCGAGAATGAAGAAAGGGATATTCTTACAGCTAGGCTTCCGGTAGCTTTTGATCCGCACTGTTCTCCTCGCTAGTTGTACCTGGATATTAAGGGATGGTAACAGCTTCTCCTTAGGCTTTTCCCGTATGTACTTAAGTTGGTCTGCCCGATAGTTAAGGATGTCGAAGTATATAGCCATCCATCTCTCCTTAAGTGAAGCATATGATTAGGCAGTCGTCAATATAGCGGCTAGTAGCTGGTCTGCGGTCTAGAATAGGTTTCTCAACTATTGACATTTATCCTATTGCCGGTACAGGTGCTAGCCTTTGGCCCGTAGCGAAGCTCTTCATTTATCTATAGTAGTTACCCTACACCACCCACCCGTGAAAGGGGGAATTGTAGCACTCTTTTAACACGGTCACTATATTTGTAATGGAGAAACCGTACAAATTGAGAGCTTTTGTGATCACTCAGCAATTCGACTGATGCTTCCGAAGCAGCTTTATTTGACACATTCTGTACAGAGACGTAACATCGGATAATTCGATCACAGTGTCAAAAATTGAGGAACAACGACATATTTGTGTACAAAGACATAACATCGAATAATTTGATCACAATGTTCTCTTGGAGATCTCGAGGAGCATATTCGTATTAGTCAGATGGGCAGGGATGTACTGGAGAATTTGTCGTACTATAAGATTGAGGAACCATAAAATTTTACCAGTGAGTCTCCCGATACTGCAGACAATAGGCCTGATCTTTAGCAATGATGGGTTATTAGCTTATGGTCCTTGATAGGGTTATATAGGACAGGACGCAGCGGTAGATCCTCTTCATTGATCGTGGAGTTCTGCAGACCAGTGATCTTCACAACGCAACACCAGGCGTTGTTCAGTTTTGTGTTCTGTTCGCTTACTCTTTTTCCGTAGATCTACATTATAGTGTTGTGTCCTGCAGATGTAAATGTGTTATAGCTTTATCATGCACTTGCGGGGCGACTGCGAATTTTCCTCCTTTATCATTATAAGACAGGCGTATCTCTCCGGCATCTATTCGACTCCATAATTCTTTGAAGCTTAGCCATGTGAAGCTCTCAGGTTAAAAACCAGTATATTTGTCGACGAACTGCTGCACCGCTCTGTAGACAGATGTGGTTGGAAGACGGAATTAGATGTCTACGACGGCATGCGACTGCTGAGGCTTGTAATATGCACAAGGAAAAAGTAGAGCAGGAAAACTCTGCTTGTCTGACCTCTAGGGCAATTATGCTATCGGCTCCACAATACATACAAGGCGATCCTGAAGAGCCAGTAGGTTGCCCACGAGTTCACGTGCCCGAATGGAATTGATTGAGTTGGTGCGAAGCTAGGACCCACATAGTTCCGACAATGCTAGCGCTTCATCAGGAAGCGCCGCCCGAAACCGTGACTCGAGAGTTGGATAGGTGCTCCGTCTTACGCCTCACCATAAGCGGGCGTGCATACGAATGAGAAAGTGCTTTTAAATTATTCTAAACTCTATTAACACTTCTAGTTTAGGAAAAATAGTGGTCAGAGCCTCGAGTTAGGCGAGGCTTGCATTGTGGTGGGTAAAGCTGAGATCGAAAATTCATGATTCTGCTCATTCTAAAATCCGGAAGAAAGTGCGCAAAGACTGTTGGAGGAGAAATGTTGAAACCTGATCGCGGTGGGCCGAGCGTCCTCGAAGTGGACGGTACTTTCTAAATGAACTCATAACATAGCTCAGCCTATAACCAGATTCTTGAAAGATAGAGCTCAAATCCATCACTCTGCTAGACGCCATCGTCCTTATGACGCACACATTGGTGTGTGGGGCTCGATTGTTTTCACATCAAACCGACTGACAGTTAGAATGAACAAGCCACCGCATTAATTTTCATTTAGTTTATCGGTTATTTAGTTTTTTCTATCTTTCTGATTTATTATTTTTTCCTTTTCTTCTTGCGTCTTTTTTGTACTTTATCATTTTGCGTTACACACATGATAACGTCGTCTTCTTATATAATCGTAATATTTGTCGCCTTATGAAGGCTTTATGATATACTTCAGAATGACGTTTTCTAAAATTCAAGACATGGTCGAATCGTCCTTTCAAAGTGCCCAATATTGAAAACATTTCCTCTACAAATAATCATATTACAATGTATGAGTAATTTTGAAGAAGCGAGACCGATGCATCGCGCTCTCTCCTCTCAAAGTAGTCGCCTATCCGGAAGAGAAACTTTGCCATTCTTCTTTCTTCGTAGAGATAGGGGTACTCCACTCCTTTACTAGTATGACAATTCTAAGCAAGGGAACGTATTCGATTCTTAATCCGCTACTTTCAGCATTTTTTTTTACCTTGCCTCCAAATTATGATTGATCGAGCTAAGCCATAACCAAGCGTAATCTCTGTGCTGCTTTGATCATAGAAAAATTCGTGATGGTGAGATATGAAAGTCAAAAGTTTTCTGTATCGTTTTCAGGTTGATCCATGCGTGGATTTTTTCGAGTTTAGTTGTGGGAATTGGATTAAATCGCATCCGATTCCTGACTACCTAACCTTCTACTCACGGTTTACCGAAGTCCGTGAAAGAGTTCTGCAACAGATGAGAGGTAACCCCGGATTTTGATGTTTAGTTTGAATTTTAGTGTGGGTAGAGCTAAACAAAGTAAGTATCACTCGCTAGGACTTACTATCTCGAAAGCTTGCCTTGTAAGAGACAAAATGCTCTGTATCAAAGTATGCTGTCAAATAATCCACTGAAGGATTTGGGTCGCCAGAGAGATTTGCTTCAAAATCAATGAATGCAGTAAAGTTCATGTACCAAAAATGTGTGGACAAGGAGGAACTGACTAAGATCGGCTCTAAACGGCTACTGCAAAGCATAAGGGTGTGTTTTGTCATTGTGTCGAACCTGAATGATGTGAACTTTGGTTTTTATTTGTAGAGTTATGGAGTATGGCCGATGATCGAAGGCGATGACAAATTCCGAGTGGAAGACTTTAATTTAACATCGCTGATGATTTACATTACTAAAGCTAGAGGATTCCATGTCTTTGTGGCTAACGGCGTCGCCCGCGACGACAAAAATGTCTCGAGAAGACTTATCGAGGTGAGAACAACAATTTGTGAGCCTCTACTTGCAAACCGAACGCAAAGACTGCGGTAAGGTTTGAATTCTTTCGTGTGGGTGCCCATCGGCTTTCACCCAGAACCTTTGCGGCATTAATTCGAACTATACAGTGACTTACATAGACCACATAGGTTGTCTTTATTCCCCGTAAGCCAATTCCAATCAAACTAAGTTGCAGGAACAGAAGGTTCGAACAGCGTTGAAGGAAATTATTAAGTTGATGCATAATTATTGCGGACTTTTTCGCGGCTCTTTTTCTCTTAAAAGAATTTGACTTTCGAGTTCGGGTTTTTTCTAGAAATGATCTACTTGATTTCCTCTACAAGTCTATACTCGAAAAACCATCCGTATATCCGCGAAATTAGGCTTTAC